GATCAGAATTAACACTCAGAAATATATATACTTTGAAATAACTTTGACCTGTTGTTAAACTAATTGATTAATTTGTTCTTTTATTTATTGATAAATTATTGGATATGTACTGGTGATTTATTGGTGATTTATTGAATTATTATTGGTGATTTATTGGTTGGTTATTGGTGATTTATTAGTTGATTATTGGTGATTTATTGATATATTATTGGTGATTTATTGGTGATTTATTGGTGGATTATTGTATATATACTGGTGATTTATTATGTATTTTTATAGTATCTCAGTAATATAAGGTTCATTTCAGGATTATGGTTCTGGATAATTTCTGTGATAAAATCCTGCTGATGTATTTTATCATTATTGATGTTATGATGATGATGATGATGATTAATATTGGTAGTTTGATAAACGTGGACAGAGGCTGAGTGTTTGTGGATCACTGTGTCAGCGAACAGCTCGAGTAAGTCTGGAAGTAAATTCTGAGTCTGTGCTGGAGATGAGTTCAGACCACTGAGCCCGAGCAGAGAGCGTAACCCTGCGGTGACACGGTATCACCAGGACATGGTCTCAGGTGTGAGTGGTGTCATCATACAACTGTTTGATTCCTGCTTCAGTCTGAGCTGGTCTACACGAACACGACGGGTCGGTCGGACTGATTTGTGTGTTTGGTGCATCTTGCTTACATTGACTATGAAAGTGACTGTCGGACCCTGGATCTGTTAAACATTTTAAATTAAAACTTTCTTACTTCATCAATCACTGAAAAACTTAGAAAGGCTTAGTCATGTCCTGATGATCGCCGGGTGTGTAACAGGAAACTGCAAACTCCCCTCAGCTCCACAGCTCAGATGGTTTCTTCTAATTCAGTTCTGGTGGTGGATTAAGATACAGGTTACCATGGTAACATGCTACATAACCAATGAACTCATAGTGGTGACAGAAGTTTAATTGTCACTATTCAGCAGCAGTGACGGTGTAACAGTAGTAGTAACAGTACTAGTAGTAGTAACAGTAGTAACAGCAGTAACAGTAGTAGTAGTAGTAACAGCAGTAACAGTAGTAGTAGTAGTAGTA